GCACTATTAGGAGGTGTGGCCTTGTTGGAGGAAGTGTGTCACTGTAGAGGTGGGTTTTGAGGTCTCATATATGCTCAAACTATGCCCAGTGTGTCACAGTCTCCTGCTGCTGCCTGTGGGTCAAATTGTGGAACTCTTGGCTCCTTCTCCAGCAGCATGTCTGCCTGCATGCTGCCATGTCCCGCCATGATGATAATGTACTAAACCTCTGAAACTGTAAGCCAACCCCAATTAAGTGTTTTCTTTTATGTGAGTTTCAGTGGTTATGGCATCTCTTCACAGTAATAAAACACTAAATAAGACAGGCGGCATCTCTGCATTGAACACTAGCATCATGCAATATTGGAACTTCACAAAGATTACTTTTCTAGTTACTAATCCACGCAACATCCTGGGGCTTCAGAACTCACTTATTCCCGAGGTATTCAAATAGCTCATATTCTATAGAGGTTATACCAGAATGAGTGGAAACTCTCCCCTCTACACACACACATACACACATAAATTGGTATCTGATGTGGACCTCAAAGGAAACATACAAAAATCATTGGGGAAGGAGAGAGTGTGAGTAGCTATTCTATGGTAAGAAGCAAATTTCTTTTCCTCAGGGAAGAAAAGCATTATGGATGGTTACAGTAGAAGGGAAAGTGGTAGGAGTTTTAAAACTGAAGGTTCATACAAATTCAATGGTAAAAGACAACTCAAACAATGGACAAAAGATCCTAGTAGGTGTCAGTTAGAGTTACTATTGCTGTGATGAAACATCATGACCAAAGTAACCTGTGGAGGAAAGGGTTTGTTTGGTGTACTTTATTCCAAATCACTGTTCATTATAGAAGGAAGTCAGGACAGGAACTCAAACAGGGCAGGAGCTGATGCAGAGACCATAGAGAGGTGCTGCTTGCTGACTTGCTCAACTGTATTCTTTTCTTGTTTAAAGATTTATTTTATTTTATGTGTATAGATATTTTGCCTGCATACATGTATATTTATATGTATATGTATATGTATATGTATATATATTATTCACCACATGAATTCCCTAAGCTGCCATGTGGGTGATGGGAATTGGACCTAGGTCCTTTGGAAGAGAAACTAGTGCTCTTAACTGCTGAGTCATTGCTCCAGTATCTCAGCTGTTTTCTTATAGAACCCAGGACACCAGCCCAGGGGTAGCCCCACCCACATGAGGTGGGCCCACCCACATCTATCACTAATTAAGAAAATGCCCTACAGGTTTGTCTACAGCTGCTGTGATGGAAGTAATTTCTTAATTGAAATACCCTCCTCTCAGATGACTCTAGTTTGTCTCAAGTTGACATAAAACTATCCAGCATAGTGGGCGTTTCTCAATAGAAGACATGTAAGCAACTGACAGGCATATGAAAAAAATAAAACATACAGTATTTTATGTATTCAATCAGTAGACATCCAAATGGATGCCTGAATAAAGAAAATGTGACATATATACATAATGAAATATTTTTCAGTCTTTAAAAAGAAGGAAATCAGGGATGGAGAGGTAGCTCAGTAGTTAAGTACACTTACTGCTCTTGCAGAGGACAGAACCCACACAGCAGCTCACAACTACTCATAACTCCAGCTCCTTGGTGTCTGACATTCTCTTCTGGTCTCTGTGGACTCTTGCACACATGTGGTGCACATAAACTCATACAGGCTCATAAATATACACATACACACAAATAAAAATAAGTAAGTCTTAAAAGGAGTCTGAGCTAGGTGTGGCGACATAAGCACGATCCTATCACTTGGAAGGCTGAAGCAGGGCTGACTTACAGTCCAGACCAACTAGGGCTATATAGTGAGTTCCAGGCCAGCATGGCCTACACATAGAAACTTGTCTCAGCTCTAACAAATTCTCCCTCTCTCCCTCTCTCTTTTCTCTTTCTCTCTCCATCATTTGTAATAATATATATGAAATTTATGAATCATAATGAACTGAGTTGGGCACACAAAGGCAAATGTCATGTTATCTCACACGTGGAATCTATAATAA